ATTTTTAAAAAGGAAAGCTTTTTTGTAAACTTTATTTAACAGTAAAATTTGTGAAACTTTCCAAATAGTATATTGTGGGACATTGTTGACATATTTTTAAGCCTCGTGGTCAGGTTTTCTAAAAATTTGCTGGCCCCACTGTGGGGCTTTTGCAGCTCTCTGAGGAAAAGATGAGAAATGCCGCAGGGAGGGACGATGACCACGCTTGGAATTGGCTGACCCATAACTATAAATGTATAAATTAAATTGTGCTGTAACGGGTTTAATGTTAGCCTGAATTTCAGCTGTCTCGATCAAGTCTTAGTAAGGGACTTTGTGTCCTGGTGTGCCTCCCAGGATAAAGTACCTAAATGCTTCAATCAGTAGCTAAAAGAGAAAAATAAATGAGTTGAGTCACAATATCCTATTAGAGATGTCTCACTTTGGGAGTGAATTGCTCAGGGAGATGGCTGAAATGCAAACTATACATGTACTTTAAACGTTTATATTATCCATAAATAAAAGTACAAAAATTGTACCTGTACTTTCAGAAATACAAAGTTGTTAACTTAATAAAATTGCCTCAAATAAATAGTTCTCCTTTGCTTTAAAAGGTACAAGTATACTCTTTTTTACAAATAAATATTAATGTAAGGGTGTTTACAAACATTCTGTCAGGGCTCTAAAGATACTTGATGGGCGAATTTCGTACCCTTTCAATTGAATTTTGATTGCTTCCATATTTTTCAAACAAACGGGATATCATTTTCTCAACTTCACTTTCGAAAAGCATGAAATTGTCCACTTGATTGCGAAGAGGACGCAGATACTTGATGGGCAATTTGGGGCAAAAGTTTCCCCTGCTCAACACTCTGTTGGATGAGTGCCATAATTGGATCTCCACAGAATGAACATTTTTCATCACTGGCATCAGTTTTTTCTAGGTTGCAATAACAGAACCTTGTGTCAGAGAAAACCCTGTTTGGTATGTATATACCATTGTGCTTATATGTACTAAGATCAAACCCTTGTTCAGGAAGCCATACCAGCATTACAAACTCATGCTTAAATATCTCATACCAGCGTCTGTGAAAGAAAGTATTCTCACTGAGTTTTTTTAAAGCAATGTGCTTAGCCTCCCTCCCTTCCATAGTTACAATCCCAAGGCCTTGCCCATATTTCTCATGTACATCTTTTGTGTGGGCAGGAATAATGTGTCCAATAGTCCACACGGTTGGATTTACGGAAGAAGACAGGAACAAAGCATTTACCCGGTAATATTCACAAGCAGCAACACTTAATTGAGTGAGCTGTTCTACTGAAATCTCAAACCTGCTGAATAGTGAAACACAATCCCTTAGTCTCAGTCCAAGATATGCAAGAACTAATAATGTTGTTCTTTGATGCTCAGAATCATTTTCTCCACTAAGCCATCTAATTAGTCTCATAAAATTGTGGCAAAGTAGCCTCGAATCTTTCCCAGTGAATCTGTACTGGAGATCTTTACCCTTTCCTTGTGTCTCATCAAACCAGTTTTTTACTTTCCTTGCCAAACATTTGGCTTTCACCTCAAACTGTAGTGCAGTCACAACCCTTGAGATTATGCTGTCATTGGGGATGTCTGAGAACTTTTTGCAGCTGTCTGCAATATTTGATTTTGCAAGTGCCTCTTTTAACACTTCTTTGAAGAAATATTGCCATGCGTTGTTCTTAACATGTAAAGGTTCCACGTGGGCATGGTCAATCAATTTGCCAATTAAGGGAACAAACTCTTGTCTACTTTTTTTACGCGCTATAAATTCAGTGACTTTGCTACGAAATTGCTTTTCCTTTAGCTGTTTCTCAGACAAGGTTTTTTTAAATTTCTCAACCTCATTTGCAATTTTAATTCTGTCCTCATATTTCCATGGATGCCATAAGCTTGTGCTATCAGTTGCAAATGTCCCCTTCAGGTCTGTGCAGTTGTCTTTTGACACATTTGCAAAGGACGAGAAATATTTTGCACTGTTAGATAGTTCACCACCTAACATGGCCAACATTTTCATGTCATTAGGTAACTCGGCACATTTGAATGTAACATGAAGGCCCTCAATTTCAAAGACTTTGTTTTCTATCTCACAAATTTCTTTGCACAAGAACTGACAATACTTACGCACAACAAGTGATGTTTCCTCACAATTTCCACCAAAAATAATAAAGTTGTCATTGCTCGATGCAACTCGTTTACCTACATTCATGAAACTTAACAAAAAAGAACAAGCTGACTCATTCTTTCCGAATGGGCAACCATCCCCACCCACAGCAATTAAAAAAGTGCCTTCAGTTTTGCCAAACCACAGAAGGGCTTCCTTTCTATCTTTTCTGAGGTAGAATTTTGCCAGGCGTGGCAAGTACTCAACTAACTTTCGAAAACAACCTTGAGTAAGTTCATCTCCGATTGCCCCTGGAAACTCTTCATCGAACCTGTACACATTTCCAATCTCAATTTCGTTTATTTCTTTCACAAGCTTGTCATATGGCAATAATTTTGGAATTGGGCACTTTGGCATAACACTTATAGCTGATCTTCCCTTTGTAGTTTCATTTGACTTCATTGATAATGAAATTCGAACAGATTTATATTTTCGCTTTCCCATTACACCACTACTATAGAAAACTGCAATGCTTCTTTTTGCATTTTCTGCAGAGCTTTCAAAAGCTTTCACGTTTTTTTTAAACATAGCTGAGGCTACTTTCTCTTTTAATGTTTTCTGACCCAGAACATAATCTTTCATTTTATCTACTTTACATCGTTTAGCTAGTGTGTCAAACATCCCATCAAAGGCTGGACCTGGGTTATTTTTAGATCCGCCATGGATTGCAGAAGCATGTGTCAGTGTTTCATGTCGTCTTTTCGCAGCTGTTCTTGGTGGCATATTTGATTTCCCATCCACCAAAATAGTTGGGGGTCTTGTTCGTGCACTGGTATCAGTGTTCCCCAATTGTAACTGCAAAGGCAAAAAATTATTATTTATTATTTTTTCAGCACCTCAAAGATAAAGGGGGTAATGAATATTATCCATCACCCTTAAAAAAATGGTTGCTGAAAAAATATTTTGGGGGTTGCTACTCACCTGATTATTTGGAGTGCCGTTAGTTATATCTGCCAATGCTATCCTTGAATCACTGACCTTTGATAAAAGAAGAAAAACTCAATCAATACATTAAAAAAGTGTCAGGTTTAATATTTCTCATCTGCAGGAAATGACAAATTAGAAATTGTTTATCAATAACCACATGTATGTTCACAGTGTCACTTATGACAGTACTGTAAGTTTAATCTTACTAATTTCCGCTAACCTTTGTTTCTAGTCTGTCAATTTTCCTCTTATTTCTATACAGCTCTGCTTTTAACACTCTACATTCCTCCACTGCCTTTTGCCTTGCTTCCTTTCTCTTCTTCATAAAATCAGCAACACTGAAACGGGTGTTTTTGGTGTGTGGCATAACGTGACCAAGTCACCTAAAGAAACAGACAAACATTGCCATGTGTCGAGCTCAAGCATTTTGATCCAGGCAAAAATTCAGCAAAACAAAAAACATAGGATTCTTACTTACATCTCAAAGATGTTATTTGTCCATTTCAAATGCTGTTACTTGGAGTAGTTTTAAATTCTATCCGAGCCAAAACCTTGATAAATTCCCTTTATGACAGCTCGTTCGTCGAAGTCTATTCGCATTGAGTTTACTTACGATGTAAATTCGAGCAAAAACATGGCATATTTGGTATCTACTGAAAGCTCAGAAAAAACGCTGCCAAGATTTCTGCTGAATGAAGCACAAAAATTTTCCCAGAAGGCACGAGGACCCGTTAAATATAAGCAAAGTAATTCGTCCCCAGTCTCTTATCAAAAACATACTTTTCCCGCGCCATTTTTAAAAACATAAACTTGCAGCTTTTTCGCGCGTCTGGGCCCGGCGTGATCAGCCGCTGACCCGCCACTGGCTCTTGTCTTTTTCATGAACGAAGGCTAACCTGAAAGAAAGCAGCAAAGAATACAACACTGACTGGAGGGTAAGGGAGGGATTGCATTGTTAAATCTCGCCTCCTGTTTCTCGTATAATCTAGATTATACCTCAACTGTAAAGAGCCTTGCATAATCCCCGATTATACTTCAAAACACTCGTCTCAATTTAACAATGCATGTTCAAAGCCACACTTGTACTAAATTTGAGTGGTACTTGATAGGATTGCCCTCCCTGGAGAAGTGTCAAATTGAGGTCCGTAATAAAACTTTGTGAAGGTGCTCGCTTGAGACCGGTCAGCAAACTGCAAAATGTCAGTGATAGAAAAACCCTGTTTTGCCGCCCCCGTAGCAACAGCCCCACGCACTGAGTGACCCTTAAATATAGTAGTGTCAACGCCGGCCAGTTGCATCAGCTCTTTCAACCACCTGGCCAGTGTAGCAGGGGAAACTGATTTGTGAGGGTTTATGTGTGATAACAGATGCTTATTAGGTTTTGAAGGGTCCTGTGGTCTCTATTGAAGCGTTCTAGCTTCATATTCCTGTAGCCACTTACAAACGCAAAGATGCTTGTTTTCGGGGAAGCTAGCATGAAAACAAGACTTTGGATCCTGGCCTTGTCGGGCAGTTTTGGTCAGTTCCGGGAGTTTAAACTGAACTCCTTCAGGGTGAAAGTATCTAAAGCGTAGATCACGGGCTGCTAGACCGGAGGCCCTGTCTGGGGCAGTAAGAGCAAGCAATCCGACGAGCTTGTAGGACAAAAGTTTTGTGGAAAAATTGGAATTTGAGCCCAAAAATGAAATATATTGTACTACTTTCGAGACCTGCCATGTTGTAGCATAGCGGGGTTGTGGTGGGCGGAGTTAGAACACGCCTTTGAGCAACTGGCATACTAGCGGATGAGAGCCTGCTTTGTGACCATCAATTAAAGGCAAGACAGCAAAAAGGGCAGAGCGATAGACATTAACGGTTCTGTACTCTTTTCCCAAAACATTAGTTAAAGGTGGTGAAAGGGGATTAACATTGACCTGTTGACTACACCAGCCACTCCATTTTGTCCAGGCAGAGGAATAGGCAATAGTTGTATTTTTCCTCCAGGCTGCCAAGAGGATTTCTCTACTCTGCGCAGAAATGTCTGCCGTTTGGTAACCTCTGCTGACAGGAGCCAACCAGCTAACTGTAGGTGTTTGAGAGGGTGGGTTCTGCTTGCCTGGGTCAGTAGATCTTCCTGAACTGGTAGGAGGAGAGGGAAGTCTATGCACAGCTCTAATAGTAGTGGATACCAGGGTTGAGCTGGCCAAACCGGTGCTACCAACACCATGTGTGACACCTGCTGACTCTGAATTTGGTGAAGGCATCAGCCTATCAGAGCAAATTGAGGAAAGGCGTAGCCCCAAAAGGTCGCCCAGTCCAGGGTGAATGCATCCGTGTGAATTGCTAGAGGGTCTGGACGCCAGCTTACAAACTGATCTAGTTGGTAAGAGAGACGGGAGGCAAAGGTCGATGTTCAGGAGACCCCACTTCTGATAGAGGCGGTTGAAAACCCCAGGATTTAGTTTCCAATCGCTGGAATCTAGAAATACTCTCGATTCCCTGACCGCTTCTACATTCTGTACTCCTGGGATGTAGCGGGTTGTCACCGAGATATTGTGGGTGAGGCACCAGTCCCGTAGATTTTTGGCTAGGTAAGATAGCATGGGAGAGTGTGTCCCTCCCATTTTGTTTATGTAGGTTACTGCAGAAATGTTGTCCATCAGCAGTTGTTCCTGAGCCTTGGCTTTGTTCTTGGTGAAGGACATTATGGCTAGTGAGCCTGCTAGAAATTTTAGGCAATTGATATGGTATGGAGTCTCTTCGAGGAGCCATCTGCCTCCTGTCGACATCCGTTGACAATAGGCTCCCCATCGTTGACGTGAGGCATCGTTGTCTCTGACCAATTCTGTCGATTGTTGGAACAGGGCTTTCCCATTCCAAGCTACTAGATTGTCTTTCCACCACTGTACCTCTTGGAGGCACTCCGAGTCTAGATGGACTACAGCTTTGTAAGATTTGCGAAATCTGAGGACAGAGTTTTTCGCTTGTTAGAGGTACCGATAGCGGAGGGGTGCTGGAAAGACTGCCTGTATGGATGAGGACAGGGGGCCCAGGAATTTTGACAATTCCCTTACAGTAGTAACGGGGTTGTCTAACAGATCCTGGCTTTTCGACTGGATCTTTCTTATTTTGTCCCTGGGGAGGCTGAGGCTTAAGTCGAGAGAGTTTACGAGTGACCCTAGAAACTCCATTTGTTGGGAAGGAACTAGTACCGACTTTAGGTAGTTCACTGTAAAGCCTAGCCTCTCTAGAAGATTTAGAGTCGAAGCAGCAGGCTGAAGGACCTGCTCCACTTAGAGCGCCATAAGAAGGATATCGTCTAGGTATACAATGAGTCGAATTCCTCTTTGTCTCAGTATTGACAACACTGGTTTTAACAATGTTGTGAATGCCCTTGGGGCACTTGCTAAACCGAAGGGGAGGCATGCGAATTCCAGAAGTGAATCCCTCCACAGAAACCCTAGATACTTCAGGTGATTCTGCCATATTGTCAGATATGCATCTTTGAGGTCTATTTTAACCTGTGTATGGACTTCCTTTTGAAGTGTTCGTATGGGATGAAACAGTCTAGGGGTTTTAGATTTATCACTGGCCAGTGGCCCCCACCCTTTTGGGGTATTACAAAAAGGGAGCTGATGAATCCGGGTTCCTGTTGAGAGTTGGGTTGAACGAAATGGACTGCCTCTGTTGATAACAGTTCCCAAACCTCCTGATCTATTATGGTTTGATGGTCCAATGAACATGGGATAAGAGGAGGGGTGTTTTGTTGTACAGGATTGTCTAGAAACTCTATTTGATAACCAGAGACTACTTGGAGGACCCAGGGGTCCTTTGTAATCTGTTCCCATGCTGATAAAAAAATGTTTCAATCGGCCTGCCCGAGGCAGGTTGTTGGGGAAATTCAAAAAGTTTCTGAACATACCTGATGAAAGGTGACTTGGGCGAGCCGGAACTACTGATGTGGTTTTGGCTGATATGGCCCTTGGGACTGGGTAAATGGGGCTCTGTTCCTGCCCTTGAATGATGTGCTTGTGGTCTGATAGCTTGATGCGGGGCGAACGAAGCCTCGGTAGGGGGCTCTGTATTGACCTCTGCCACCCCGAAAACGCCCATGGAACCTTCGGGGGGCAGTGCCACGAAAAAACGATTTACCAGCTTTCTTGGCGTCGGCCACAGTATTCGTTGTTTCAGAGCGAAGTTTTAAGCGGGATTCGAAACCATCTCCAAACAGCTGCTTGCCTGAGTCTGGGAAGTCTTCTTTCCCCAAAGATGCAAGGACTGGATTAAGTTTAGTCAAAACCTGTTCTCTGCGTTTAGACGCGACCTGAGTCTCCTACCAGCATAATGGCCTTCTTAACACAGCCAAACATCGCATCAGCTGTGGCTTTATCAAGAATGATTTCTTCACTCTCTATGGACTCCTGTATGAGCGTAAAGTTTTCATGTAGTGCGCAAAGCGGACCCAAGACATCAAGAATTTTGTCCAGTATATCTCTCAGTGAATTATCTTGAGTTTTGGCCCCAGAAATCATGTAAGTTAGATAATTGTCTAAGTTGGGAGTGAAGGCTCCCTCTGATGCTGGCCTTGGAATTTCTTGAATGATGGTTCTTCGCTCGAAGCGTTGTAAAGGCTTTAACAAGGCTTTAAGCAGTGTATCAAGTTCCTCACTAGGTTCCCAACGAGAGTTGGGGGGACAAAAGGCCGTCAGGGTCGTTATCATCATTAGCGGAGGACTGATCTGCTTGTAAGCTGCAGGCGTAGGAAGTGGATTTATCGCCGCATGGGCGTTTAGATTGAGTATTCTCATCAATCACAACGACATCGATAGGGAAATGTCTTTTTGTTGCCTTGACTTTGCCGGTTTGGTCCACAGACTCTACTGCAGATTGTTCGGCCGACTGGCCAACAGGCGCTGCGGCTTTTTCAGCTCGCGATCAGTCGATCGCGTGGTCTAGTAATTTGCTTAATTACCGATAGAATCACTTGAGACAGGGTCTCATTTTTTCGTTTGCTGTTCAGACATTTTCGCCAACATCAGATTTTCTAACTAAAGCGACCATATTCTTCGTATCAAGCTTTCCTTATCTACTCGTGTAGTCTGATCCTTTGTGGTGAGAATTGCTTGTTTCACATGGAACACTTTTGTTGCTTTACAAGCTTCTCTTCGTTAAAACTTTACATTAATGGCCCCCAAAATTAATACAGTTCATCAAGTACTCATGTTTCTTGACTGCCGGGGGCAGGTTTGACAAATAAATTTAGTTAAATAAACACAGGAAGCTTGTGTGAAATTTTGTATTTTTAAAAGCGCACCACATTCAACTTCAGCCCCTCACACCATTGGTCTCAGGGGAATCTACATTACATTAGGTTACGAGTTACGAATTACGGGTTACACGTTTTGAAGCTTGATCGAGAATTTTTCTGCCTATTGCCGCCTCGCCTTCCGCGAGTCTTCGCTCAGATGGCTCGTTGGCAACTAGTATCATACCTTTGTATTGCTTTTTTATATTTCTTTTGTTATTGAAAACTAAACTTTCACGGGACCTTACTCGCTGAAAGTCACCAGACGGATAAAGTCAGACCACAGGCAGACCACCCTCTGTTAGTGGGGGCCATTGTTGATTTCAACCTGAATCAAAATGATTAGTAAAAGAATAGTGCCCTTATTTTTTACCCCAAATTTTTTTTCTAAAAAATACGTAAACAGACCAGAATCTTACTTTTCCATTTCAGAAACATGAAATAATCGGCGGCGTTGCAAATGTTTCTCATATGACGCGAAAACTTACTTTCATATGGCAACATGCGGGTTTTTTTGTTTGCACGCTCAGGAGGTCAAATGGATGTGATTTTTAATGAAAGGAATATTCACAAAATTCTGCTTGACTTGTTCAGAAATAATTTGTTTAATTTTTAATAATTAACTAACAGCTCACTGATTTATTAATTTGGGCGACCAACTTGGAGGCCCCGGCACCCCAGCTAAAATGATCTTTTAGGCCTGGGCACCCCAGCTAAAATGCTTGAGGAGCCCGAAGGGCTCCATGAAATTTTCCCTAGAGCACAACCTTGCAGCCTCGTAGTTATTGGAAGTATGATACATTACATGCTATTAGGGACTTTAAGATCCAACGACGCGGACGACAAAGAGAACGTCAAAAAAACAATAGGTTTTATAAGCAAAACAACAACTTTGCACGTGCATCACGCTTTTTTGTACATTTCTTTCCCGTTTTTGCACGACTACGACGTGAAAATGCCTAATTTGGCGTCCTATAGAGTATGTAAACAAGCAACGGCGAAATTTTAATTCTCTTTCCGAACTTGGATATGGTCCCTAGGAATTCCATTCCAGGAGGGTTCGCCTACATTTGACATAGTAAGTGGTTAGGAATAATTGCAATAAAGACTGAAAGCACGCAAATTAACTTTTTAAGCGACGTTCTTGTTGCCGGCGCGTCGGTGGATCTTAAAGTCCCTATTGTTGAATGTGGAAGTGCATTTTTTGAGGACATTAGTAAAGGAATGCAAACTTTAGTGAACTACTCCATACTCCAGTTTTGTTTTGAGTAGCAAAGGAACCCTTGTGTGTAACTCATCTTCTAGTGTATTAGTCCTTAACAGAACATCTCCGTCTCTCCTGCACACATTTGTCGCATACACTACTCAACTTTCCATTGCCATTCAACATACCGGTAATTCTTTCTTACACCAACCCATCCCGTTTAAACGCCTTCGGGCGTCTTCTTGTTTATAGAAGAAATACATATGAACAATACGGTGGCTATAATTTATTCCAAAATGCAGAATTTAAAGCAAATTTTTCAATAAAAGTTTGAAGAAAATGTTAACTGAGTCATGTGTCATGTTTTTTTTCGCCGTCCCGTGCTGTTTTAAGCGCTATTTTGCGAGATGAATATTTGACCTCGGCGGTTGGAACTAAAGAAGGAGACAAGGCAGGCAGCAATCAGCCGCCGGCGCGTGACCCAGTCCAATTTAAGCTGGAACTGACGCCAAACTACTTGATTTCCTACCTCGAAAATACCGGCTCCCGATCCACTAGATATGTATCCATACCCCATCCGAATGAGGGCTCAATCCTTCCAAAATTTCTCGAGAAAAGCGATCTTGAAGTTGCAAGACCAGCTTTCTCAACATGACCGGTGCAAAAATCTCAACCAAAGGCATTTGAGGTATGCGCGTCGATTCAAATCCCAGCGTCTGGCTGATCGAGGTAGGAAATCAAGTAGTTTGGCGTCAGTTCCAGCTTAAATTGGACTGGGTCGCGCGCCGGCGGCTGATTGCTGCCTGCCTTGTCTTTTAATAGTTCTAACCGCCGAGGTCAAATATTCATCTCGCAAAATAGCGCTTAAAACAGAACGGGACGGCGAAAAAAACATGACACATGACTCAGTTAACATTTTCTTTAAACTTTTATTGAAAAATTTGCTTTAAATTCTGTATTTCTGTCCAAACATCGAGAGCAAAACATTTTTTTCAGATCCGATAGAGATAACAAAGCATCCAAAGTCTCAAACAGTAACGGAAGGATCAAGAGTGCAGTTCACATGCAAAGTTGATGAAAAGAATACCGACGTGATTTATCAGTGGTTCAAGGACGGCGTTGTAATAGATTGTCAAAATGACTCCACTCTTGTTCTGGATAATGTGCGCTTGCAGGATTTCGGCCTTTATATGTGTTATCTCAGCTATGTGGATTTGCCTGAGGAAGGTGTAAAATCATCGTGCGCGACACTGAATGTCAACCCTCAAAATGGAAAGAGT